TATTTGAGCCCGTCTCGGATGAAAGACGACGTCACTCCGTTCTGTCTTTTTTATTGTCGCTGCCTTCCTTCCTGCCCCCCCCCCTACACACACTCTCTCTCTCTCTTAAATCGAGTCGTTTAATGATGAGGTGAGGCTACAAGTGTAATAACACACACAGGAACATGCATCTGTGCACAATAAAAAGCACAAAGAGAAAGGGAAGGATATACTTTAAACTCTCTGACGCAGGTTCTCAGCTTCTCCACTCGCATTTCTGTACATGTGTTCTTAAGCAAAAAATATTTGTATAGTGTTCTGTAAAAAAAAGAATTCTCGACTACTTTCTGTGGATCTTTACACCACATACACACATGATTCATAATAGTCAGAGACATTTGTGTTTGAAAGTGATTGGAATTAAATTAAATGTGTTCAAATCAGTCAATTTTTGCCTAAAAAAAATCCTCTAAATTTGTAAATTTTGTGGAAGAATAAGGAAGACAAAAATCTAGTTGTGGCCACAGAACCATAAAATATATTTAATCATAAGCTGCCTAGTTATCAGAAAATCTGTCCAACTGTCTAAAAAAAAGAAAAAGAAAATAAAAAATTCTGACTTTCAGCATCTCTGACAATGTGCAATGTTTTATAGCACGTTTGGCGGTCTAACACTAAAATAGACATTACATAATTAATGAATAAACTTTAAAAAAAGGTACGAGGTTAGAAGTAAAAGAGGAAACCTGTCTACTATTGTTTTAATCGTCTGAGCTCTGATTTCCCTGCACGTTCCCACCATGAGCCATTCCCCTCTCTGAGCAAGCAGCACAGCGAGGGAGCCACAGGTCACACCAGCGCCCGGTGCAGCACCAGGCCGGCCTGCTGTGTGTGTTTGTGTGTTTCGCTATTCGCTGCTATACTGGGAGTGCGGGCTGGAGGCCGTTATCTGGGGCCGACGCTCGTGGGTGAGTGGAAAACACCCCGTCGGCCAAGCTGCCATTGACCACTACAACCCGTGATGCGCGTGGCACTCAGTGGACAGCCTAATGGATCCATGGTGTGCGTTTGTACGTGCGTGTGTGTGTGTGTGTGGTGAGTGAAGGGAGGGCTCATGCCTCCATCTAACAGGCAGAAACCTACCAGGAGTCGCTCTGCTCCCGCCACCGCCGAACCATTTCAAGAGGGCGATCTCGCCAAAACAAAAACGCACACACACACACACACACTCACGCACACACACGCACTCGGTAAAGTGGGCTAAAGACGGGTTCAACATCTGCATCCTCCCTTTTCAGTGCAGCCCGACATTGCGTGAAAAGTGCTTTGCTGGAAAGGCAAGCGAGTCGACAGTGAGTACCGGTTGAATGTTCCACACTCCTTCTCATCCTCCTCCTGCTCCTCCTCTACACCACCACCACCACCACCACCACCAGCTCCCTGCTTAAGATGATACACACAAAAAAAAAAAACCCTGCTGAGTTCAAAGTCTTCGTCGGCTGGCCCTCCTGTTCGACCCGCTTTGCACCTCATATTTCAAAATCTCTTTAAAATTCTGTAACTGTCTTTTGTTCACTCCAGTTGTTAATGCCTAACTTCAAAGGCCCGGCCTCATTAGCACAGAGGTAGAAACCCCTGTCACTCATTTACATTTGTTTAAAGGCTGCAGGGAGACGAGAGGAGGAAAGGGGGGAGTCCAAATCCAAACCACTGGAAGTCAACCTTGTCGGTCCGCTGCCAAGACCTGGTTTTATCAGTTGGTCACATTGCAAACCTCACACTCCCCTATTGATTAAATTACTGGACTGATTCTTACTGTTGGTGTGGGCAGAATTTTGGATGGAAAACGTGAACAAAATTCAACATTTATCTCCATGAGGAAAATAGGCATAAACACTTGATTTTTTTTTTTTAAAAGGAGGAAAAAATTGATTTTGAGTGGATTTTTCCTGTGAGCCATTCTACATTCATTTCTTATGCTTTTAGTAACGGCCCTAAAAAAAACAAAAGGAGCTGATTTTTCACCATAATTTGCAACTTTTTTTTAGGCTTTTTCAGTTTCTGCCTGAGACAACAGGAGGGTTGTGTGCACGAGTGGCTAAACCTGGGCACGCTGGTCTTGGTGGAAGGATTTATTGATGTTTATTAGGGATGAATAGATCAAAGACTGCCACGTGACAGGCGATCAATCACGCATCAAATCAAGGATGGCAATCCTCTAATAAAACAGAAAGAAAGAGAGGGGAAAGAACGGCTCTCACCAGTTGTCTCCCCCTTCTTTCCCAGTCAATTATTCATCATTACTCACTCTTGAACCTCAAAAGCTCCCTTTTATCCTCATAACATGCCATTTAGTTTATCTCACCATTCCTAAGAGAACTTTCCCGGCAAAGGCGCATGAATAATAGATATATAAATATGTCTATATGTTTAAACCAAAGGGTCATTGCGCACATTTGTGCGTCCTTTTTGGAAATGAAGACACATTTGTTTTGGTTTTTTTTTTAAAAACACAACTGTGGCTCGTGGGTCGCGCGCGCGGTGTACAACACAACACATGGATTGAAAACAGTGAGGCGAACGGCAGCATGCGGTGCAAAAGGACAATGTGGTTTTGGAAGGAGACATATTTTCGTATAAAAATGGGGTTGGCTGGCGTGCGGGGAAATGGTCGTTGAAGGGGCGGGTTATACCTGCTGATCGCCGCGGCTCTTGCTGCTTTCTCCTCGGCATAGTGACCGTCGCTCTCCACGGTGCTTCTCATGCGGGGATTACGGACAAATCGAGCCTGTCACTCTTGAGAAATCATCCCGTCTTGCTTCGGGTGGAGGGCGACGAGGAGGTTTGATGTCGGAGGAGGAAAAAAGCGTCTTCTTTTTCAAACTGTCTGCGCTTTTTCTTTTTTTTCTTTTTTTTTCTTTTTTTTTTTAGGACTTAGCGGCTTGTTGGGCTTCGATAATAAGCAGATAAATTAGGAAGGGATTCGGCCAGCTCCGGACACCTTCATGTCCATCAAAGATCATCTTCCGGCATGTCTCTGGTGGCGCGGGGTTTACGACAAAAAAAAAATTAAAAAAATTAAAAAAATAAATCTGCAGCGAGGAAGCACCTTGAAACCCAAGTTTTCAGTTCACTCCCCCTTGGATAAAAAAAAAAAAGAAAAGAAAACCTCGCTAATCTCCAGTGCTGTTTGGAGGGGGGCGAGACTTTGGCTGCGCCTTTTACGCACAGCAAAACTAAAAGATAAATAAACTCTGTCGGTAACAAAACAAATACGTCCCGTGTGAGCGCAGCGCACAGCTCAGATAAGTCATGTATCCTTGTGTTTCCTTCTCTTCTTCTGCCAGAGACCTGAAAGAGAGAAAGGGGGGAGGGAGGGAGGGAGAGGGGGGGGGAGAGAAACAGGCATTAGACGGGTTAATGTCAGTCCCGTCACCACCACGCCACCTCAGCCCGGATCCAGCCTCACCAGTCCGGCGGAGACTTTTCCCTCCCTCCCTCCCTTCCCTCCCTCCTTCTCTCCCATTGAACGAAAAGAAGAAGGAAGAAAAAAAAACAATCGTAAATGAGACAGGATTTCGCTTTTACTTACGTTTTAGGACTCGTGGAAATAATATGCCCCGCTCATCTCATCGCGTCTCAGACACAATTGTTATTATTATTTTTGGAGCTGAGTGGCTGATGCGGTGGAAAGAGGGATAAAAGAGGGGGAAAGGGGGATATAGAGTGAGCAGGTCAGACGTCCGCGGGAACGGAGGTTACATCCCCAGATCAGATCAAAAATGACGAAAAATATATGGTGCGTGTGCTGTTTTTGTAGGTGTTTGTTTGGATGATTATAAAGAGGGAGGATTGCTTGTTTTATCCTAATTGGGGGAGAGGGGTGGGGGGGGA